TTTAAAATTACATAATCCTACTCCTGATAATCAAGGTACGATTCCTTTAAAGAATAGATTTCAGTGCCTGGCTGGCTCTATTGAATCGCATGACGATGTATGCTCGCATGATTCTGACGACACTCATGATAGTAGAATTGAAAATAGTCCGACTCCTACTAATGCAGCTAATAACAAGAATTCACGTGATAGAAAACCACCTCCAATCTATCTGGCTTCTTAAAATTAATGATTTTATTAGTGTTTCACCAAAAAGATTTCACCAAAAGAAAGGACAGCAGGTGGTAACTTTTATATCAAATTCTTAGGTAATCAGATCAAAATACAATTTTATAAAACTTGTGACTTTCTTGAATTCAAAAAAATGGCTATTACTAACAAATTTCTATTTCATACCTATTCATTACCTGAAGATAAATCTTTCACCGTCACTCTAAAAGGGCTTCCCAATCTGCCTAACTTGGACACTAAAGTAGTGCATGAATTGGAGTGATTACTTAATATTGATATTAATAATTGCATGTATTTAAACTCGACCGATAGCATATATGCCACTCTCAAGATCAATCTTAGTGCTAAATACTCATTAGCTCAATTAAGAAAAATTAAATTTTTTTTTCACTCTTGGATCTATTGGGAAAAATATATAAACAATAGAGAACTACTCTGCAGTGTTATCGTTGCCAAGCCTTTGAACATACTTCTTCTATTCTAAATGCTTTAAAAAACCTAGATACGTTAAATGCGGCCTTTATAATCGCAATTTAACAATTAAAAGTAAATAAGATTCATTTATTTTTAATATTACATTCCGTTTATTAATATTAAAGTAACCATTTGGTTCAATAAAATTTGTGTTATATGTATATTTTCAACGTTACCGTATACTTCATCGCGCATTATTAATTTTTTATATATGCTACTACGTAATAATATTATTTTTATTGCATTTTGAATTGCAATGATAATTTTACCATGTTTAATATACCAAAATTACTCGTTTATTGGATAAATTTTTCGATAACTATACCCGCAAAATATCTCGTTTATCGAACATGTCTCTCTGTAAATTATTGAGGCATTTCGTTTTATGCATAATGTTCTTTGTTCATCGAATGTAAACAAGGATAAATGATGCATCATGCACTCATAATCTATGAGGTACTTACGAAACAGTATGTAACATAGAGAAATTCAAATTTAATCCTATCGTTACAACTTTCAAAATTTCTATACATTTTTCTCAAAATTATATTGACGACTAAAAGAGAAGACGTTTTCTCATCAACCATGGTACATACTATTTTGTTCCAATTCACTACAGAAAACAACACGACGACATAAAACAATACGGCATATTCGCTCGATTTGTGTCGACAGACACAATAATTGGACTGCTATAGGGCGCTGAGATTAAAATTAATCATGACTCTGATGATGCGTATTTAAAATAATTAGCACTCCAACCAAGCTGAAAAATATTAAACAAATCCTCTTATAATGTAATAAATAATATAATAATAATAGTTTTAAATGTAAAATCTCGACTCTTGTCATAACAATCTGAAATTCATTGCGATTGTTATGACAATATCCGAGATTTTGATTTTAAATAAAATGCATTTATGTATATACGCGCGCGCACATCCTATTCATATCAAACCACAATCAAACAAAATTTCTCATTCATTATTGCAAGAACAGAAGGTCTGTTACATACCTGCGTAAGAGTTATCCTAACAGATAAAACTGTGCCATACGTCTGAAAGAAATTATGCTATCATTATATTTAATGAAAACAGTTTTGTTAACTCTTTCGCTCAGAAAGCGGGTGATCCGTCGGAATACCGCCATTGATCGGGACCCCGCGCCAAAAGTGTACACATTATATGTAGAGAATCTTTAGTGTTTAAAATTTCATTTTACGCCCGAACAGCATGAACAAC